TTCTTCTTTTCGTTCGAATGATTCCCGTTATAGCAAGCATACAGGCAATGTGGCATTTAGTGTCAACCAAACCACACAAATGAATATTCATGATGCCGCCCAGCCCATGACATCCATCCATTCTTTGTTTCGTCAATTATTATTAAATATTTTTCAGTAAGAGAGAGAGAGAGAGAGAGAGAGCACTTAATTTTATTTTTCCACTTTACTATTAATTCATTTGAATCGGCGGAGAATGAGAGCCCGGGCAAGACTTCTTTGTTTTTACCATATTTATTTGTCTCTTCAGTGAATCAGCGAAATAAAATCACAATAAATGGTGAATTCACCATTTAAGGCTCGCACACGGCCAGTCTCAAAGGCATTTAAAGAACTAGTCGCATCCCTTTTTGGATATTCATACACATATTCAAAAATAACGTTTTTTTTACCCACTCGTGCATTGTACCCAGTCAAAGGCACTAAGACATGGAATATGTTTCTTTAAAATGCATTTAAATGAGTTGCGAAATCAAACGAAATAACCAAACACTGAGACGCGCTGATTTCGATATGTTAATCTCATTTGAAGTATTTTCGTCCATCGTTGTTCGGCTGGATCATTAAAATACAGCGAAGAATATTTTACTCTTTGCCAAAGAGTTGAAGCCGCGACGAAAAACGAAATATGAAATGCAGGTAGTCAAGTTGCACACCGATCAAAAATGTGTGCACGTGGCGTTTTTTTTTTATTCTTCACAATTCCGTGCAGTGTGTGTGTGCTCACGCGCGCACACAAGAAATTATGGAAGTGACCATTAAATCGAACAAAGAACGTGACAATCTAAAGACCACAAACAAACGCCTCGCAATTGAATAATGAAGTTATCATTGCGGAAATTGAAGAGATCGTGGCAAAGCAGTACAAACGAATACTTAATGGTTGTTGTCGGTTCTTTTTTCCATTTCGCACTCAATAAAGAAAGAAAAAAAAATGATAGAAACGATGAATGAAGAGAGTAGAAAAACGGGGAAAAAACAACAACAACAAAATAAATTGGTAATCTAGATTCAATTAACTCGGCGGTAGGAAAAAAAAATGAAACCAGAAATCTATTTCCATTGAAATTCGTCGAATAATTGAAACAACAACAAGTCAATGCAAAAATAGTTATGCACAGTAGCAATCTCTCACTCTCTATCTCTCTATCTCTCTCTCTCTCTGCCTCGTTTGAAAATCCATTTTTGCATTAAATCCATCTCTCGGCAAGTAAAGAGGACGAGGCACAAAAATAAGATAATGCGATACAATGGCAAATAAAACAAACACGGAGGAAGTAAAAGAACGATGAGGAAGAAATGGAGAGGGAGGTAGAGAGAAAAGAATATGCAGCAAAAAATGTAGTATGCCTTTGAATGTGGGATGAGCAGAAGATAGGCAGGCACATATTCGAATAGCAGTCGGCAGCGTTGGCGGCGGCAACAATCAAAATGGCATAGGTAAATCATTGATTTTTCTCGAGAGCTCTAGTGCAAAACCGTCAATATTAGCCTGGCTGACTGGCTGACAATACCAGCCAGCTACTCTGCCAATGAATTATTTAGCCTCCGATTGTTGTTCTATTTTCAATTCCAGATGCCATTTCAAGTTTTGTAAAATGCACAATTGCCAATGCAATGAAATGCAAAATTGTCAATACGAGAAGAAGTTTCGCGTTACAAGATACATTGTAGTTATACAGGCATATACCTTATTGTGAATACCCAAATGCACTTTTATTTTTTATGTGTTTTTTTTTGCTGTCCGTTGCTTCGGTTGCTTCTTCTCCAAATCAAAATACTATTTTCGGGATGGTTTTGCCATTCGAAACGACACAAACACCTAAAGCAATGTTTAACACTCATAATGTGCTGGTTGTATCGCACCGTAATCTTTGGGGCAATAAACACTGCAATTCGATTGATTTTTAATGATGTTGGAACGTTTTTCTTCCTTCTCTCTCTCTCTTTTTGTTTGTATGCCTTTATCGATTGCACTTGTTTACTTGTGGGGAAAAAAAACCCAGAAGAGCCAACATCAAGAACACGGTTTGGAATTTGCAAAAAGTCAGTGTTGTAGCCAGTTATTCTTGAAAATTAATGGACACCAAAAGCATTTGTTTCGATTATTTATTGTATTGTCGGCACGAAAAATTGAAATCAACGAAACTGTTATTCTTCCTCTTTTTTACCCATACCTTCTTGAGCTCGCCCAAAAATATCAATCTAAAAAAAAAACAAGCAAAAAGTCGTTTTTTGTGAAGATTCCACTTTTCGACAACGATCATTTATAAATAAGGTGACGTGTGATGACGGTTCGAAATTCGCATTGAAAACGAAGATTTCAATGAATCATTATCGAATCACACACCGAACTAAAAACGGAGGAATATCTGCATATGTTTCGTCTGTGTGAATTTGGAATGGCAGACTGTCGACATCGCCGCATAAGCTAATAATAGAGACAGGGGGGAGAAATTGAATCCGATATAATAAATTTGGCATACATCTCATCAACACACGTGTGCAAGTGTGCAAACACACACCGGTCATTCTGAATGCGGCCAAAAGCGAACGTGTCAAACAAATCGACGTGAAAATGGAACGAGAGAGAGAAAAAATGGTAGAGAAAAAACGTGAGTGGATCTGAAAACGGCTACGTCTACGTCTACCAGCCAGCCAAGTCAATGTGAAGTGTGTGTGTGTACATATTTTTTGTCGGTTGCTTTCGTTCATTCATGTCATGTAAATCAAGTGTGAGAGCGCATTATATGTGGCATATTGGTGTTCTGATGTTGGCTGGCAATATGGACAATGCTCATCGGACGTATTGTAAATAAGCCAGACACCCAATCCTGTTTAATTATTAGCGATCCTATTTCACATATTCATTGCGTTCGTAACTGACATGTCATACAAATGCAAACATTATTACAAGGCAATGCGTACGCCTTCATTTGACGAGGAGAACGAGAGCGAGACGAACGAAAAATTGTCATGAAACAAATACGATGTGGAATGAACAATGGTTGGCAAAACTAAAAAAAACGAGAGAGAAAGAGAGAGAGAGAGTTCAATTGAGAGAACATAAACGGCTGAAAGGACACTTAACATATGAACACGCTCACACGCGCAAATACACCAAAGAAGACCAATGAGCAAATTGCTAAAGCATTCGGACATTAAAATCGACGAAATGGTACGAATCGGATTTTCGATGAATTTGTTGTGTGACCATGTGTGTGTGCTAGTCAAACAGTTTGGAGTCTATTCGAATAAAATAAAACTGGTTTGTTCTATTTCGGCAAGAGAACTGAACAATTTGATCGAGAGATGGACATGTTTACTCCTATCCAGATCCGGTTCAATCGTTTTTAAAAACCAACTCATCATTAACGATGGGAAAACGAACGGGCAGCAAACAGAACACAGAGAAGAAAAAAAAACAACAATGAGAGCAATTTTTATTTTAAACATGCAACAGCTTATTCAAGAGGCGCCGCACATGCAATTGGTGTTAAAACCGTCACCGTTCATAAAACCGTCGGGCATTATCCCGATGAGTGTGTGTGTGTATGCAAACAAAAACATGTTGCATCTCTTGAAAATATATGCAATTTGAGATACAGCGAGGGAGAGAGAGAGGCTGTTGTGCTTTTGCCAATGTAGGTGTGGCAAATATTTGATTATGCTGATGATTTTTTTCACTTTCTCGATTGCCTGCTCGTGTGTTAATTATAATTGTATATACATAAATGCAGCACTCAGAGAGAGAGAGAGAGAGAGAGAGAGAGAGAGAGAGAGAGAGAGAGA